TTTTTTTTTCTGTCTGTTAAACTAACTAATCATCTAACTAACTAGAAAAGATGCTAGAAATGATGCTTTTTGCTTTACAAATTATTGATTAGATAAACGAAAACTGTTATATTGTAAAGTGCAAGTTTCTAGCGTTCAATTTTTGGTGTCGATTGAAAATTTTCAATGTATCCAACAGATAACAAGATGGCAACTGAAAGTCAAGGGTGAAAAAAAAAAAAAAGAAAAACCTCATAAGAAACAATTTTTTTGCAAACATCAGTAATCAAAATGAAAAAAAAGTTCTTTTTTTTTTTCAATAGAAAAAAGAAAAAAAAAAAAGAAGTGGAAAATGAGAAAAGTTACTGTTCTTTCTCTGTTGGTTTTTCATCAAGTGATACTAACCGAAAACTTGAACAGGTGCCGTTTTCTTCTACAATTCAACATATACACTTAAACATTTAAGCACACACAAACACACACACATCCACACGCAGCTGCAAACTGTTGTCTATCAAAAATATCCACTGAAAACTTCCTTTTTTTCTTTTTTTTTTTTTTTAAATTTTTTACAATTATGAATGAATTATGGTTGACTGTCTTTTAGTTGAAATATTTCTGTCAAAAAAAAAGACGACTATTAGCAACAGCAACAGCAGCAATAGTAGTAGTAAAAGTAGCCGCAGTAATTATAACAACAACTACAACAACGATTGTAACCTATAATATCCATAAAAAGTGTATATCTTCTTAAATTTACCAATTTCAAAAAACAAACTAACTTTTTGCAACCAAAAAAAAAAAAAACTTAAAAACAAGTAAAATGTTTCAGTTATAAAATATTTAGAAAAAAAAAAAAGAAGAAGAAACTTAACAAAAATTCGCAGATGTATTTCGATCAGTGACAATATTACTTCATTAACAATCAACGTCGGCATCAGCAGCAGAAGTAAAAGCAACAAAAATGGCAAGAAATACTATATATATATATATCAATAAAATTTTTGCTCGAGTCAGTGTGTATACAAAGTAAAAGTTGAAGAAAAAAATTTCAATTTTTTTTGGAACTCATTTCTTCTAAGTGTTACCAAAAAAAGAAATCTATCCAAGTGTCATATCGATAAAATACCTTAATAAACATTATTTCTGTTTACCATAAAATCCTATTGCCTAACACTGAATATCTTAGCAGAAAAAAAAAAAGCAAAATAAGTCAAAATTACAAATTGACAACATTTCTGTATAATATGCGAAAGAAATAGCTAAGTTTTAGTCAAAATTTAAAAGAACTTTACAAGAAAAAAAGAAAAAAACTGTGCATACAGCTAATCACGTTTTGCGCTCAGTAATGCAATTCATCTGAGCACTGTATCTTTTCGCTGTTTCTTCTCACAGTTTAA